TGATGCAAAACCCTAAAAGTGCCCTAACCCTAACCCTAACCCTAACCCTAACCCCGACCCTAATTAAATTTAAAATTTATGTTAAAATTAGAAGTGCCTAGTAAACATACCCTATCGCACCTTTCAGCCGGCTGCAGAAAAATAGCCTCCTCCACACGTGTCCTATTTTCTCTGTTTCCCTTCCCCTCTCTTTCACATCCTCTCCCGTCCCTCTCTCCTCTCCTTCCCTCCCCTCCCCTCCCCTCCCCTCTCCTTTCCTCCCCTCCCTTTCCCTCCCCTCCACCCCCACCCTCTTCTCCACCTCCTCACTTCCCCCTCCCCCAGGGGCGAGGTATATAACGTACCCCCATGGCTTTATTCATCATGACGTCTTCCATGTATTTGTGGTAGCTGTCGCATGCCACGTCACCAGTGTCGCCATTGAGCACGTGCCCCGCGTGAGAGATCGTGTCCCATACGCTCGGTCCCTTACCTGTAGCAGATGATACGGCGCATGCGCAGTTAGCAAGTACTTAGACCACGACGGCGCATGCGCATGAAAAATCCTGGTATTTGAATGGCGGGGAGCGTGCTGTTTTAAATTCACGCGCGCGCATACAGGCACAGACGCGCGCATACACGCACGCACGCACACATCATACGCATGATAATAAATAGGAACTACAACATTGCTTTCAGATCATTAGAAACTCGTGCAGTGACCCCTTATTGTTTGTATTTACTATTTACATGTTTAATGTTACATTTCTTATCGCGCACCTTATGGCGTTGCCAAGAAGAGAGAAGAAGAGCCAAGAAACCACCGGCTACAACAACAATCGTCATCGTTACCGTCCTCGTCCCAGCCACTCACAACAATCGTCATCGTTACCGTCCTCGTCCCAGCCGCCCACAACAATCGTCATCGTTACCGTCCTCGTCCCAGCCGCCCACAACAATCGTCATCGTTACCGTCCTCGTCCCAGCCGCCCTCGATCTGGTATGCTGCCGTTGCCGTCGCCCAGACGAAATCCTTGCTGAACTCTCCGTAGAGAAACTCGTCGTCTTGATCTTTTAGTTTCCCCTCTGCTGCAGACGCCGTCGCAATCAGTAGCGAGAGCACGAACAACATCGCTGTGGTGGCCGCCATCTTGTAATTATGTCACTGTGCCTCTCTCTCTTGCTGTCTTTCTTTCTGTCTTTTTTTCTTTATGTCACTCTCTCTCTCTCTCTTTCTCTTTCACTGTCTCTCTCTCTCTCTGTCTCTCTCTCTCTCTCTCTGTCTCTCGCGGTCTCTCCCTCCTCTCTGTCTATCTCTTTCTCTCAATGAGCAGTATATGAGCCGGAGAAGCAGTCCTGTACTGAATGTGTAACTAGGTACTATATGTGTGAGTGCGAGC